GGGATATTTTTCGCATTTCACGATTAATTAATTCTTATTTATCTCTAATAACTACAATTTAAACGACTTTTTATAAATGAAATTGTTTAATCATTGTTTAAGTTCAGTTAAGTTTAACAGAAATTATTTTAATTTTAAGGTAAATTGTTTAAAAAGCAGATTTTTGAACAAAATTTTCCTTTTTTAAATGATTTTTTTGAATATTCTTAAGGGTAGAGGGTTCTTTACTTTTTCCCTGACACTATATCGTGAGCTACCCTGCGTACTTGTAGGACCTATTTATTTTTTTTTATTTTGTTATTATTTAAGTAATAAATTTCTATTCTATTTCATATTTTATATATTTAGGTATGTGTGTACGTATTCAATGTTTACAGAGAAACTTAACAACATAAATTTATATTCTTTTGACGAAGGGCTCTCTGTAACTATGGTTATTTATAGTCGGTGCCCTTTTTTTGACCTCTAGAATTCGATCGAGTGAAAGGCATCGTTTAGATCGTGTCGTGCTTCTTTTTATTTCGGCTTATCTCGCAGAATAACAAAAAATTATTTCAGTTGTCTATGATCGTACGGAATTTATTAGGTTTGTCGTGTGTGTTAACGCCATCTTGTTAGCGATTTGTTTTTGTGTAATTTCGGGTTGTTATCAAGTGCGGGGTGTGATATCATAGTGAACATTACGTCAACGATTGATAATTAATTAAGTGGCAAGTATTATTGTAATATTTCTTTTGTTTTGTGTAGAGTTTTTGACTTGTTCTTTCTGGTTAGGATTATATGAGTCATACTTACACTGCGCAAGTTTGTTACCTTATTTGGGCATCATATACGTACATGCATTGGTACCTATACAGGGTGTTTCTATACAGGGTGTTTGAAATGTTGACGCGATTTGATTAATATTATCCATAAAATTGTAAAACTTGGCTATCACATTTTAACTTTAGTAGTAGATGCCCAGTTTAAATTTCTCTGTATGCATTTAATTTTACAATAATAAACTGTATTATTGTTGCAGATTTTTGGGGCGTATGAGACACGGCAAGCCTTGATCGAAGAGACTGCGATTGTTTAAGGTAAGTCGATAATGATACGTAGTAATTAGTAATGAATTTTCTTTTTTTTTTGTTTTGCTAGGTCATTATTTATTGATATATTTGATCCCATATTTTCACTGATATCGAGGCTATTTTAATTGGTACTTAATATAATTAATCGATTCTATACAAATTACAAATGTAGCAAGTGTCGGTGTAAAAACTAACTGATTAACTAACTAGCAGATAAAGTTCAGTCTCTCATGTACGAGTGTGTCGACAACATTTTTGGCAGTAACAGGTGTCTTTTTTTTCGATAAATAAAAATTGTAATGAAGAGAAACAAATACTATAACATCCACTATTTACTTGATTTTGCATACCGTGTCTCATTACCCGACATTAGATTTTAGAGTTGAAAAAGTTTATTTAAGTATTTACACTTTTTGGATTAATTTGACAAACAACCATGGCCCATGGTACCTATCATTTGTAACCAACAAATATCTGGTATACTTTAGTTGCAATTGGGCAATTGCAATTACGTAGTTTTGTTCTTTCCTATAGTGTATTACCTACCCCTTTATTTATCATTTAAAAATAAGGGGTGTGCTAATTATAATTGGCAAATATTAGCACAAAGGGGAGGCTACGGGACTTATCCTGCCAAAATATAAATAAGTAACAGGACACTGACGAAAAGTTTTCGGCTTTCAAAAAAAAAGTGTATAAATAAATGAAATATATACTTTTTTAATTAATATCGGTAAATTTCTCTAAAAATCTCCTAAAACAGTTAGAGCAACCCCTGTAGGTGGTTTTGTGTACTTATGTACGTAATATTAATTTTTAATCATTTTGAGTTGTTTGCCAAATCAATATTTATAGTTACTATTGTGACCATATTATGTCAAGTCCCACTTACACCTTCATTATAACACATTATCTGTACGAAAACCCCTTTTGTACATACTACATTGTATGCAGCGGTCATATTTTTAATTAATTGTTTTTATTATTATAATTATTATTTATTATTGTATATAAGTAGTTGGATCTTACAAATCTCGTTTAAGAAATAACGCATGAATTTCTTTTACCATGACGATCAAAAAAGAATAATGCAATTATAGTTTATTACTTGGTTCCTAATAGTGGTTTATGATCATAAAACCATTTAAGAACAGGAGCATCTTCATATTAATTTGTTCAGTTTGCGCATGTTTCCAACCCTCGTCCGCTTCGCCTGTGCAAAGTCAGAGCGAGGATTGTCAGCCTACATTTTGACTGACTTCCGGACCCCTGCGCGACTCATCATTACAAAAGAAAAACTGCAAAACAATTAAGACGAATTCAANGACGGTAAGGACTGGCGACGGCGCCTACGCAGGGCAGGACTCAGGTTATACTTGACTTTGGCCTGGCTCAGCAGTTCTTTGAAAACCTTTGAAACGTTTAGATTTTCTTTCGCCGACGTCTCAACGAACCCATTTTCCCAATCTACGGTCACTACCGATTCTGTCATGGCGGTGTCTACCTGTAAATCAATAAGAAAGAAAATCGATTCATTATTTTGTTGTGGAAATTTTTTCCGTTTGAGATAGTTATTATGAGTATTAATTACAATAGATACAGAAGGAAATGCAAATGGGTCTGATGAACGAAAATGTCTTTTCAATTACGTAGCTATTTTAAGAAAAGTTTATAGCTATTTTTAATTACAGTTGGATTTTCATTAATAGAATAAAAGGCAACAGAAAAAGGGTAACGTTTCTATTTTCGTAAAAAACAGGATAATAATGACTTTTCTTCCATTTATCAGGTCATCGCCGTTTCTTTTTATAATTAGATTTCGTGTTTTGTTAAGAACTGGTATGAAAACGTCTTTACAATGCTCTTTTTTTTGCTATTTGACGTACGGAACCCTAAATAGGATAACCAAGAGAGCAGTGATCTTCGACTTAAGACTTAAATTTTATCACTTAATTATTCGAATCTTCATTTAGAATTACCTTAGCACATTAAGATTTTGATACATTATAACTTAAAAGTTCAACTGATGTTAATTTGGCTTGTATGATTGCGAAATTTGGATAGGTATCGCGAAACTTGAACGATCTAGGGCTTTCCTGGGGCCATATTTGAGCTTGCAATTCAATAATAAATTGGAAATCATAAAGTTCTTTGAATATTTATTCAGTTATCTTCGAAAAAGAGAAGAAATTCAAATAGATCGCACCATTCTAGCAGATTCAAAACAAAAGAACTCAAACAGGATGATATTTTCTACCTATTTTTCATAGTTGAGCTCGAATCTTGCTCCAAAATTGCTCTATTTCAAAATCTTCAAACTCAAATAAGCCTAATAAGCAATATTTGGAGTTCGGAGTTAAATTATTTCAAAATTTCGTTATTCCCTTTTCTTTCTTTGTTAGTGTCCGCTGCAATTCCTACTTGGCATCTCTCTTCTATGTTTACAATATTCCTTCTCTACAACGTCTGTCGTGAGTAACAAAATAGGCGTTCTGTCAGCAACCGCTCTAGTCCAATAAAATAATTCGAAGTGGTCTGTATTCTATCGAAACTGCCAGACGCGGATCGCGATTTTGATCTTTTTTGGATCTCATCAGCGCGTCGCAAACAGCTCCGACAGAACACAGACCAACTTTTACCTGCTGTCTTAACAGCGCGTTTTAGCAAATACCACAAATGGCGCGATAAACGCCATCTGTAGTACGATGCTACATTTTAGGATTACGTATTTTAAATATGTAATTTAAATATGTATATGCTCCAACAAGGTCCATTTAAATATATATATAACAAGGTCCATTTAAATATGTATACGTAATCCTAAAATGTAACATCGTACTACAGATGGCGTTTATCGCGCCATTTGTGGTATTATCTAAAAACCGCTCTAGTCTAGTTATTAAGTTGATAGAAGAAAGTAAATGGGACACTTTTATTGCGGACTATGCCAATTTTGAACGTTCTAACTATATGCGAATATGTTAAATTTGGCTTGTTTCAAGTCCCTGTAAAACGGTGTAATAAATTGGAAAATTTGCGAGTAGGAAATTGAGGATTTTCCCTGAATTAATCAGCGATACGTGTCGGACGTGTGTAAGCCGAAAAGCATTCGACGCAAGCCCCATAAAATACACCGGGAAAACTCGTCCTAATAATACACAGGTACATAGATATCAGATAAAGTTTATAGCAGGTTCGTGGAGCGCGAGATAACGTTGTATGGATGAAAATAAGTACATTATTTGTTAAACAAACTGAAAAGCGTGTTTTCCACTGAATCCTGTATTGTGACCTAATTCGATTTCGAGTTAAGAGGAACAACAACAGCGAGGCTCATAATAAATAAATAAGTAAACAATAATTAATTTTGTTGTGCGCAAAGACGTCTGCCTTCTACATGAACTAAAAGGGAAAGTAGGACCAGGAACAGGACTCCAGTTTATTCTTTCGAATTTCTTTTTCGTTATGTTTGAACAATAACTAAATAGTTTTTAAAAGATTTGGGAACTTCTGTTTAAAANCCAACGCCATTTCGCCATTTCAGGACTACATACATGAGCATAAAAGCCAGTCATCAATCTATTATGTGTTCCTGCGTGCGATATTTTCTTAATAGCAAATCGATATCGATTCCCGCACTAGGCATCTTTCTGTCTGTGTGTATCATACGTGTGTATGTGTATTTGTTTATAACGTCGTTAATTTGAAATAAGTAGCTGTAACATCACGAGAAGAGACATTTAGTTTTAACACCCCATTGTTCAGCTGACACAACGCAGTTTATGGTAGACGTTGGTGGGGTTAAAATATTCAAAAGGCTTCCTGTGGAAGTGAAAGATGAATTTATACGTGGTGTTTAAGAGAAAATTTACTTTATCGTTTAAAAAAGTTATTTATGGTAGAAGTCCATACGTGGGCGGACTGTTTGACAGTATAACACTAAAGAAAGAAATCACAGTTTTCAACATAAAAGAGGGAAATAAAGCCGCAGTTGAAGTTCCTTGTACCCGTCAGCCAATAGAAGTAGGAGATCATTAATCAGTTCGAAACTGAAAGTGTAGTACGGAATATTGCCAGACGTTTGTTTATTCAGTAGATTGATTGATTATTTGCATGTCAACCGGATTTGTTCCCCGAGTAGGTATCAATTGACTTTTCTTCAAATTTAGACTTTTAGACGTTTAACTTTTAATGTCAACTTCTGCCTCTGTTATATAACTTTTGTTATCGTTGAACCGGCGACGCGTCGCGACGTCAAATTATTACTAGACGGTAGGGTTCATAACTACGTAATTGCATAAAAACAATCAATCTTGTCTTTAAATATTTTGGATTTTGAAGGCAGCCGAATGAGAAATTACACGAACAATTTCAATCATTTCCTTACAATTATAATTTCGGCATTCTAGAAAAGACTTAATCTTCCTACGTAATACGATAGTCCTTTTAAAAGTTTCGGATTTTATATATTTAATAAATTTTGTATTCTTCAAGTGAAAGACTTATATCAACACCAAATCTTGGTGTCTAGAATATTAGCATTCTAGAAAAGACTGAATCTTGTGACGTAATACGGTAGAAAGATGGAGTCTTTTTAAAAGTTTTGGATTTTGAGGGCAGCTAATTGAGAATTTCAATCATTTCTTTATTTTTTAATAAATTTTGAATCCTTTGAGTGAGAGACTTGGTATCTACACCAAATATTTGTGTCTAGAATCTTAGCATTCTAGAAAATACTCAATCTTCTGGTTCCATTATTTCTTATCATCATTTTGCAATTACTTATTATTCGTTTATAAACAGTAAGTCAAGATCTATATTTACAATCTAATTGTAATGAGTTTTTCGTGTTTTATAACAATGACGTGTTTAAAATTGCACTAATTACAATGCGCTAGATTTAATAGATTACATTTATAGAATAGTGTTTGTTCGTTGATTCCTAAACAAACATTAGAAAAAACTGAAAAGAAGATCGTGATACAACGGTATTAGGTACTAAAATGCTGTTTAGTTTTTCTTCAGTTTTTGTTTTTGCTTATAGTGTACTTTTACTTATTATACAGTGTAAGTTAATTGTCTTTTCTGATCTATTTTGTAAGATTTTCGAGTTACAATTGCAATGATTACAATTTTAATATAATGAAAAAAAAAAAGAAATTCGGAAAACTGAGATTACTCTTTTTTTTAGCGCCTTTCGGTAATAAAATATTTTGTTGTGTAAAAGCTGAAAGATCGAGTAGAAGTACGCCCTCACAGAGTTTCGATAAGAACCAGATCCAATTTGTCCTTTTCACAAGGTAATTTTCCTCACCGAAGAATAACAGTATGTAATTTAAATGGCGTACATAAATTTTAAATTGAAATCTGTTTTTTTATCATAAAACGAGATGTTGAGGAAATTGAAATTTTCATAAAAAAATATATGAGAAATGANAGAGACTTGGTATCTACACCAAATATTTGTGTCTAGAATCTTAGCATTCTAGAAAAGACTCAATTTTCTGACGTAATACGCTAGAAAGATGGAGTCCTTTCAAAAGTTTGGGATTTTGAAGGTAGCTAGCTGAGAATTTCAATCATTTCATTATAGTTTAATAAATTTTGAATCCTTCAAGCGAGAGACTTTATATCTACACCAAATATTCGCATCTAGAATCTTAGCATTCTAGAAAAGACTCAATTTTCTGACGTAATACGGTAGGAAGATGGAGTCCTTTTAAAAGTTTTGGATTTTGAGGGTAGTTAATTGAGAATTTCAATCATTTCTTTATTTTTTAATAAATTTTGAATCCTTTGAGTGAGAGACTTGGTATCTACACCAAATATTGGCGTCTAGAATCTTAGTATTCTATAATAGACTCAATCTTCTAACGTAATACGGTAGGAAGATAAAGTCCTTTCAAAAGTTTCGTATTTTGAAGGTAGTTGATTGAAAATTTCAATCATTTCTTTATTCTTTAATAAATTTTGAATCCTCTAACCGAGAGACTTGATATCTACACCAAATATTGGCGTCTAGAATCTTAGCATTCTAGAAAAGACTCAATCTTCTGACGTAATACGGTAAGAAGATTGAGTCCTATTAAAACTTTCGGACTTTGAAGGTAGCTGGCTGAGAATTTCGTCACACTTTAATAAGTTCGCTATTATTATTTAAGTTGTTTACTTAGGATTTTTTTCGCAAAATCACCCTAAATCAACCATTCCTTATTAAACGTTCTGTTGACGTATTATAATGAAATAAGTTACGGATTATAAATGCCGTTGGTCGTTTGTATATTTAATACAAAAGGTCGTTTGAGCGTAGTAGGCCGTGATGAGCGTACTTTCCACTACTATCAAATTCGCAATTGTCGCAATAATGTCCTTCCTTTCTTTTCTAAGAACGAAGCGCCCAACGCGATTCAAGTGTATTTGTCTGAAGTAATAAAGTCGAATAGCGAATCTACACCCTACGCTTTATTTAGGGCCATTTCAGGTGTCTAAAAATACTCCGGACTGCAATAATGTCCTTTTTAACGGATCTTTTTAATTTGACGAGTTTTTTGTTTGAAACGAAAACCTGTAGAAAAAGGAATTACAATCTAACAGTAAATGATACTTTATTCGAATGAGGTGTTTTAAATATTTACGAAGACAGGCGAGAAGATGGGAGAATTTGAGACAATAAAATGAGTTTAATTAAAATGATAAATAATATTGGTGACAACAAGACCAGTATTAATACCATGACTAAATGAACAAGACCATCATCAAGATTAAGACCAGAGTTAAGACATCATCAGCAAAATTCTTGCGAAATTTTCATTTAAATTTCAACAATATACATTTGAATTCATAAGACATCTTCCACGATTGTACAGCCCATTTCAATTTGTTTGAATTGTGACCTTGAAGAAATCTGCGCGAAGATAGAAAGAATACACACTAGGCGTGAGCAAGACAGAAATAGTTGGAACAAGCTTGAACGAGCAGAGCTCTCGATGGGCGGTCTTACGAAATCGGCTAGAACTGTATAGTACTAGACGAAAATGTTTAGCAATTTCTTAAAACAAAAATGTATATAAATAACAATAGAAAACAAAGCAAAATTTTTATAGGTGTGTAGAACGTTAAGTTAATTCACTTGTTATTATTTCTGGCTAAATATGCTTTCAAATAAAGCATATTGTTAAATTTTAACGAGGCAGTTTAAATAATTTTGCAAATGGTACTGTACACTTTTGTCTAGTTCTCGCTCGATGATCGGTGAAGAAATGAGCTACGCAGACAAATATGATTGAATTTGGAATTATGCTACGGCGCATCCTAATAAACGGAAGGGGCATATCTCTAACTTCCTGAAACGAACAGTACTTATTTATTTTTTCTGACCTTTCACCTTTAACCGCCGTCTTTTTTTCAGTTTCCAATTGGCTTCTTTTTATGTGATGCACTTACTCGCCCAACGCCATTTCGCCATTTCAGGACTACATACATGAGCATAAAAGCCAGTCATCAATCTATTATGTGTTCCTGCGTGCGATATTTTCTTAATAGCAAATCGATATCGATTCCCGCACTAGGCATCTTTCTGTCTGTGTGTATCATACGTGTGTATGTGTATTTGTTTATAACGTCGTTAATTTGAAATAAGTAGCTGTAACATCACGAGAAGAGACATTTAGTTTTAACACCCCATTGTTCAGCTGACACAACGCAGTTTATGGTAGACGTTGGTGGGGTTAAAATATTCAAAAGGCTTCCTGTGGAAGTGAAAGATGAATTTATACGTGGTGTTTAAGAGAAAATTTACTTTATCGTTTAAAAAAGTTATTTATGATTAAGTTGTTTTCTATAGTTTGGACGTCGTTCAAAATTGGCATAGTCCGTAATAAAACTTTCTTCTTTCAACTTATTAGCTAGACTAGAGTGGTTGTTGACAGAACGTCTATTTTTACTCATGGTAGACGTTGTAGGGAGGGAATATCGTCAACATAGAAAAGTGATGCCAGGTAGGAATTGCAGCGGACACTAACAAAGAAAAGGGAATAACATTACACCGATTGATGTGTAACAGAAAGAGATGCAGACATGCAAAATTTGACCATGTTGCCAGCATGGGACTTTAAAGAAAGTTCAACATTCTCAGGAATTTAGGAAAGCAAAGACACTTGTTTGAAGATATAATCCCAACCAGGCAATCATAAAGCCGATTCTGATATTTGCGTAACTAAACAACTTCTAACCTTTGCATCGATTATTGTTATTCGGTTATCTCTTTTCATTTTGTCTGTACAACTCATGAAGCATTTCCTAACGTAACAAGGGCGTGTTCAAAACTCAGCAAATGACTGCAGTCCAAGTGGAAACAAGAAAGAAGATACATCCATTCACACAGATAATTTATTGGGAACTATATGTACCTATACTGCCAATAAGCTGCTTCTCCGTTGAATGAAAAGTGGTTAATGTGGACGCCAAAATACCACAATATTTAACAGGGTAGTGCAGGTGCTTGCAGTGATAGGATACGTGGTAGTTAGGGGCTGGAATTCCACGCGAATAAAATTGGAGAATTTCTACAATTTCTTACAGGATATTTTGTCATTAGCAATGATTTAATAAACAACTACATTTCAGTATAGATGTTTGGGTTGTGCGGGCGTCTGCAAATAAAATTGGACGTAGGAGTTTTTATGCCTTCCTTTTCAAGACTCCTAAGTAAGTTTAAGAAGTCTTTACTATTTCCTAAAGGACTAAGTAGGGTAATAAAGATCAAGGTGTGATCAAGATGGTTGTTGCTCGGGTCGTTCGGGCGACTGCGAAGTAAAATTGGAGTGAAAACTTTTTCAAGATTTCTTTGTAAGATAGTCCGGATATACTTCATGCAATGACACATTTGTTTTTGCTATTGATAGCGAATGCCTAACACTTCGTTTACTTTCATTATTTGTTTTAGGCATGCACTTAATTGCTTTCACAAAATCCGATCCGTTTGGACGATAAAACGGATTGTATTATTCAACGTAAGGTTTTTACCCTTTCAACTTGAATCTATACGTGTCTGTTTGGATTTCATTACGAAATACGACAAAATGTGGACAGCGAGAGCTTCGGCTGACAATTCAAATATTTGTTTTCCTTTTTCTCATTAACCGCATCGGCGAGTGCTGAGACACAAAGTTACCAAAAATAATTTCCAGAACGAGGATATTCTCTTTACATTTACACAATAGAGAAGCGTGCACACGGATATGTTAAGTTACACAGGGTGTTTCTGAAATATGATAGGGCATTGTAAAACAAGAAAATTAGGTAAATGTTTAGTGGTCGAAAAGTCCACCGTTTTCGAGAGAACCGTATTTGAAAGGCCAGTCCGGTCCTGGCGGGATCACGCAGGGAAATACGACATTGCAACGTCGCATTCAATCAGCTGCAGCATCCGTGTTGTACGAGCATTTTCTTTGTATTTTGAGTTTTTAATACTCGTTGAGGTGTACTTTAAATAATATTACGTACTATAAGCGATGAACAAGCTAGTTGTTTAATTAATTGTTATTGCAACGGTCGTCTAAAGATTATTATATGTATTAGCATAATAGTAAGCTGTTGGCATTTACTTCATTAAGCGTTACACAACCGTCACTGTTTACATTTTTCATCCATGTAGTTATTTAAATGTAATGCAATTTCTCTATAGATTGCCAATTCACGGCCAGCGCCGGCTTCGGATTGAAAGTTTGTCTGGTTTTCTTACAAAAATTTGCTACATGTTTCAGAAGCATCCTATATCTGGGATAGCTGGTCGTTTTCTGAATTATTTAGACAGTTAAATAGAATGAATAATGTAGAAATTTGGAACAATATACAGTAATAATTTCTGCCATCTATAAATGAAACCATTTACAAATCATGGTACCTTATCTTGATTAATATCTTACCTGTCTTTCCCCGACAAGATCGGTTTTATTTCCCACAACGACGATCGGTACGGCTGTGCTTCCCTTAATTTCGTGTATTTGATCTCGTAGCGCCCTAACTTCTTCAAATGTGGCGGCATCATTGACATCATAAACCAGTATGAACGCGTCCGCCGACGATATGGACAGGGCCCTCATGGCTGGGAATTCGTAAGCCCCTGAAGTGTCCAGGATGTCCAAGGTGAGTTGCACGCCGTTGACTGTGAAGTTTCCTTGATGCATTTCTTCTATTGTACGTTTATATTTTGGCGAAAATGAATTGTAGAGGAACTGGGTGATTAGGGAAGACTTTCCAACTTTGGCTCCTCCGAGAACCACGATTTTGTGGCGCACGCTTGTACTAGTAGGGCTTATTGTGTCACCTTTCTCGTCCGCTTCAGATAACTCTTCCGTTGTCTTATGACCCCTGCTAAAAGTCACTGTTAGAAAGACGCCATTTCTGTGCGTAACGTTATTGGTATGGTCTACACGAATCGATCTATGAAGTTAATCATCATAATAAGGTCGTCAGTCCAAAGACTGGTTGGACACGTACCTCTACTTTTTCCTATCCTGAGCTAAACTTCGCATTTACCTAAAACTAGAACAGCCCACATCCTTAACTATTTGCGATCAGTAATCTAATCTAGGTCTACCTCTACCCCTCCTAACTCCTGTTTCTGCCTCTAATATGTCTCTGACTAGACCTACAGGCCTATGAAGTTGTCCTACCAACCTATCTCGCCTATTTCATATTGAGTTCCATAGAGTCTTCTGTTCTCCTGTTCTTTCCAATACCTCCTCATTTCTAACCTTTTCTACCCACGATATCCTCATCATCCGCCTATAACACCACATTTCGAACGCTTCTAACCTTTTCTTTTCCGCCGCTCCCACTGTCCATGTTTCGCACCCGTACAACGCCGTGCTCCAAACATACACCTTTAACAACCTTTTTCGAATTTCTAAATTAACCGTTCGCGAGCATAGAAGTGACTTCTTTTTATTAAAGGCGACACGACCCTGCGCTATCCTCTGCTTTATATCCCTACTACTCCTTCCATCCTCACTTATCTGACTTCCTAGGTATCTAAAATCAGCCACTTCTTCTAATTTTTCGTCTCCTATCTTTATATTCGCTCTTTCCCTACTTTTTCTTCCCTTGCATATCAGTATTTTAGTTTTACTTTTATTTATTTTCATACAGTACTGATCTGTCAGTACCGCTTCCATTTTATTTAAAGCTATCTCTAGGTCTTCCTTGCTAGATGCTAATACTGCTATATCATCTGCAAATCTAAGCATACTAATCTTTTGCCCTTGCACATCTATCCCTACAGTTGTACTGTCTCTAATGATGTTGATGGCGTCTTCGATGTATAGATTAAAAAGTAGCAGTGACAGTGTGCATCCCTGTCTGACTCCCTTCCTAATATTTACTTCTCTACGATGCATCCGTAGCTCTATAACTCTATGAAACTATGAAGTATGAAATTAATATAGGGTAAAAGAGGTACCTGCTACCGTGGTCATCTTCAGGCTCTTCTTTTAGAAAAGATGGTTGTAAACTAAATCTTCGTCGAAACTGATGTCGTCCCTTCATAGCAGTCGAAATGATTTGGATGTATCTATCCCTGTAATAAATAACAATTATTGAGGAATGTAAATGGAAGGAAAATGTGTAAGAGAACATTTTTTTCAAGTTTAAAGATGGGTTTCCAATGTTGGATATTCAGTTAAAAAAAAATGGGTCTCTTTGTTCTTATTGGTTAATCAGATGTGTGATTTAGTTTTCGTGGTTTGGTATGTTTCTAAAAATCATAGTAAATAACGGGTTCGTACTTGATTTCTACATTAACAAAATTAATAGAGCTATATACTAGGGTCAATTGAAAAGTCCCCGGCCTGACACATAGATGGCGGCACCAGAACTAAATCCATATGATTTTCAGTTAGTCCTAACCTTCAAAAGACGCGTCTATAAATTTGACGGCTGTCGGATCATTAGTTTGTGAATTATAGCATTTTTAGTGAAGCAACTTTTGTTATTGTGAAAAAAATGGAT